AACTGCCTAAGACTCATCATATACTCACTTGTGATCATAGTACTATCTGATACATTGTATGGTTTAATATTCCGAAGCCAAAGCTCAAGCTCACAACTGTAATTTCCTCCATCTCTGGCCGCGGCATTTTTTATAACTAGCGGTGCCAGTGTGTCTGCAGGGTAGTCTGGGTCAGGGTTTCTTACACTTTGCTGTACAACACCATTTTTTAACCATGAAATCCTTTTCAGCACAGTCCCATAGTTCTGGGTATCAGTCATATTGCAAAAGATGGTGATACTGTCACCGTGTTGCAGCATGTTGACTTTAGTCACAGATACAACAGGAATTTCGCTTCCTAAAATGAAACATAAGTAAGTAAGTAAGTAAAATACAATGAGGAATGCCCTAAAGGTGAAAAACCTGCTTATTTTCCTCAAATATATCTATGAATTCAAGACGGCTCGACTAGCTCTAAAACGGTGTTTACCGGCAGCATGTCTACGGAAAAATGCTTTCAATAACCTTTTTTAATATTTTTGCTTTCATTTTGTGTGTCTGCTGAATTGGCGCAGTGTTCGACACGGATTCACAGCTGAGCAGTTTTGTTTTTTTCATATTTGATTTATCGTGGCCTTTTTTCCACTTTATTTCCTCTGTTTCGGGAGGTTTTGCGTTACACGTATTTTCATAAATTTGAGACTAAACTTACTTTCTATGACGTTCACACTAAAACCATGCCTGCGCTCCAAGGGTGAACCAACCGCAAAAGCGTGGCATTCGAACCTTCCCAATTGACCATACGTACTGTCGTGTTCTAGCGTTACATTCCGTATGTGCATCGTGACAATGAGCTTCTTTAATTTCTTTCCACCTGTAGAAGTGTTAGGAATGTTAGGAGGTAATTAATTTCCACACCGTCGAATAGCTTCCTTGCATATTTGTCATTGGCTGCGGGGATAACTTTAGGTAGCTATTTCGGTAATGTGACCTCTTCTCTGTTCGCTCTAACTATAGTTAGAAAATTTACGCCTCTGTGATCCAAAACAATACAGACTTGGGGCCTGTTTACATGGAGGTGGGGGACCCCAGGTAGGTGAGGTAACCCCCTTAGGTGGGGTAAAACAATAACCCTCCTTTACATGCAATCTTACAACCCGCCATCCCGGGGTGCACTTTGTCAAGATTATTGAATGGTCGCTCCACGTAAACAAGAAATATGCTAGCAAACCACGTGTTTTGGCGTTTAATGCTCTTCAACACTCACTTGTTGCTCTTGCTGCAACATTCAGTGCTGTGGCTTTCTATTGTTTCCTTTAATAATGATGCAAAGCCACCACCAAAGTGAATTTTGCGCGAATTTGATGTATCACGAATCCGACCCCGGCCAGGCGGGTTACCCCACCTTGAACGTTTACATGGCAAAATTTGGCCCCGGCTGAGAGGGTTACCCGGTCTGGCAGACCGGGCTACCCGCCTTGGCGGGTCACCCCACCTATCATGTAGACGTAATCAAATTAAAATAAAAGATCAAATGGACAGGCGGGTGACCCCACCAAAGCGGGTTACCTCACCTACCTGGGGTCCCCCACCTCCATGTAAATAGGCCCTTAAATATAGTTATACCCAAGCAGGGTTCGTGGGTCAGTCTCAAGTTTACAAACAAACAACCAATCACAATGTGACACTACTTTTTGCACGTGCGAGATGAGTATATATAAATATGCAAAATAAAAACCAAGCGTGAAGCGAGGGGGAAACCAAAAACAACAAACAAAAAAATTACATACGCTAATTAGAACTAACTGTCGTTTACTGCGTGGTGTGACCGCAATGTCGACCGAAAGCACCAACTACAGTTAGGTATGACATCACGTAACTTGACACTAACTTAAGTTAAACTTTGGTTACGTCGTAGATGTGACCGCAGCCATTGGTAGTCTTTACACTAGAGCCTAAATAAGCTAAGAAATATTTCGAGCCAAGTAAATTTTAAATTCTTCAAGTAAAAGAAAGCTTCACACACAACCTATCTTTTTTACTTCAGGTTTACTTAAGCCTATTTTCCCACGCAACATAATTAAGATTGATTGACACGATTCGCCTTTCTCAAAGCTTAGAAACCGCAAGTTCGCTAAGTCGGTTTTAAGGACGGTTTTCAAGTCACTTGAACATTCTTGAATCGTTTCAACTTTCCGTCTTTAATGAGATGCAAAGTAAAGTTACTTGAGATTTTACTTAGGCCTTCACACGTATAAAACTTAGCAGCTCTTAAGTCTTACTTAACAGCCTAGTGTAAAGACAACCATTGACTTATGTAGTAAGGCATACAAGAAACTTGACAGATTCCTTTAAACAATGTAATGAAGCAATACGCCATTTCCGAGTTGCTCCTAGCCTCCAAGCCTGGAACGAAGGCTGATTCAGATCACTAATGTAAAGCGCGCTATCTCATTGTGTAATAGCGGTGTAATATCAAATATAAAATGGGATAATCAGTTCCAATACTTAGAGTGACTTTTATGTTTTATTTTTATAAGACATCGGCTTACCCTTGTCCACTTCCTCTGTTCGGTTTGTGAAATATATGTTTTCATTAGCAGTTATAAATGTATATCGGGCAAAATTGTCCTTCCTCATGAACTCTATCCTTTCAGGAGTTTTTATTCCAGTTGAATCAAAGGCTACACAGGTAACCTGGGCAGAAGTGGACTCAATTGGATAGATGTTATCGGGAAATGGCTCAACAATCCCAAATTTGTCCAAAGCTGAAGGGAAAGGAAAAAAGAAATTGAACCTTGTGCTTATGGACTTGAACTGGCGATTAACAAATTAAATTCAATTCAATTAAATTTATATGATAATACATAGTTTCCTGAGAAGCTCAGTTCTCTTCAGCACGTTTAAGTCACATTCTCAGTACGAATTTTATAGCTGTAAACAATGGTTCAGCAGTTTTACTAGAGCATCCCAGGAGATAGCCTGTCCCAGGCTCCGAGATAGTCGGGTCCGCTGGATTGAGAAAGCACAAACACGAAAAGATAACGGGAGAAAACCCTTTTTCCCACTTGACTTTGACGCTTCTTCCCCACTATCTGAGAGCCTTGAACAGGCTACCTAAGAGTAGAACTTGAGTTGGTTCGAATTATTGGGAGGTTCGAAAAATTCAGGGGAGTTTCAAAGTCTAAATTAAATAGAAGACTCCGCCAGAGTTTGAGCTATCGTGAGGATCGAGAAACCGAGGGTTTCACGAATCGGTGGAGATTGGTTTATCAATGAATCTGTAGGTGTGTTAGAGCTAGAAACTTACCTCCATAAAATCCCTCCACAGAAACCGTCAAAATTCCAAGCGCAATTACTATGCACCTCACTGAAAAATCCATGTTGTCTGAGATCTTAAAGAATAAAGTACAATTCAGGTGGTTATAATGTCGGTCGGTATACTGAAAGTAGCATTTTGTTATTGCAATACCATTTTTTCACGAAACGACATCAAAAAGGAATTTTTTTACTAGCCTGGAATTTGTTCCTCGCGTGAAGCTGTAACAAATGAAAATCAATAATACACGGGCAAGAGTATTAAAAAGTATAATTATTTCTTAAATTAACGCTTTAGATATAGGGACTTCTGCTTTGTTTACTTAGGTGAATAAATACAAAGTTTAAAATGCACGTTCGACGCCTCAATGCTAAATCTAATGAATCAATCTTACTTGAAATTTAATTAATTTGTATTAATACTAAAAAGTCCTTTAAGGAAGCAACGTACAGAGCCTCTTTCTCTCATTCTACACGGAAACAGTGTACTACACAATAGGGGAAAGAGGAAAACCACCGAATAAACAGAATCTAATGTCGATCTGAACTGAAAACATTCTAACAGCTGCTTATGAATGACAATGTCTCGTGTTATATTGGATAAGTTGTTACGTAAGTGGAAGGACTGTTCTGTGAATGCCTGTTTTGGTCGCCACGTACTGAACATGATAAAAGATTTGTCTGCTGAAAAAATGTGGAGTTACTTTGATTAGAAACACCATGCTACACAATACAGTATTTATACAAACGAAAGGGAAAAACCACAAACGTAACAGGGTCACCACAATATCCAACCTCAATATTGAGGCTGAAAATATTCTAAAACGTGTTTGCAAGTGACCCTGTGTTAGCTTTTAAATTTTAGCGAGTTAAATAATAAATATCACTGGACAAATAAGCTGTCATTGGATTCTCTATTTGTGTGAAGGAGGACACGAACTGAATATGATTAATCATTTGTCTGCTAAAAAAATGTCAAATCAATTTGAGCTAGCCCCAAAATCGAATCGATTAAACTCTTAGAAGAACTCAAGGAGTAAAAAAAAAATTCTTGTAACACTTACGGACCGTCATTCAAGGGGGAAAAAAGCCTTTCCATAGACTGAGTGTTTTGTCTTATAGAGCAGCTCTTGTAGTATAAAGCAGTTCTAAAAGAAGGCGCTTCTAAAAACCAGTTTTCGTGATTCTAAAAGACAGGGAGCCAATTTAAGTGAACCATATCGGATAGTAACGATTACCATTTCTGGGTTAATAATTAATTGCAAATTAACTACATTCTTCGATTTTGAGATAAAGATAGAGAATAAAATCAAGAAAAAAATTTCGGCTGTTTTCTCAGGCTATTAGATGCCACTGAGGCTCATCATTCTCAGATCACTCAGTAAATTGCGTGCACGTCAAGGCAAGAGAGGGCAACCACACCTTTCAAAAGGGTCATGGAGGTATCTTATATTGTTCCTAATTTTCTGACGAGCACCCTTTTCACTTTTATATGGGAGTCGTCCCGGGAATGGGAATGATAACATCTTGAAAAGATCGATCGGGTCGACTCTTTAAAGTTATTTAATTTCGTTATTTAATTTTGAGAAGGAGTTTGAAATGTAATTTTAGAATTAAATTTTAAATTGTGTTACCAAGAGAGGGGCTCTCCTGTCTTCCGTTTCAGCACCTGATTGTCTGAGAGAGTACACTGCTAGTGCAAGTGAAGTTCTTAGGGAATCTCACTTTTAATACTATGAAAGGAAAAAGAACTGAGACAAACCCATATTTCGCATGCGATGACAGAGTGATAATCATTATTTTAAAGTAGCATTGACTTCTTCTAAAATCTTACTCATCCTGTCATTCGGTAATAATAGAAACTAAAAAATAACAAAACACATAATAAAAAAATTATAAAACTTACTTTGGTTGACGATTGCCTCAAAAGTTAGCTAATTATAAAGCAGTAAGACTTTGGTAACTTGTCTGAAAAACTTTTACCTCTTGTTACGAGCTGTCTTAATTTATAACACAACGATACGTGCCAAAGGCACAATATCGGGGGCCGAGTTACCCAACACATCTACGATAATTCCTGTATCAGCGCGAAACGGCCACAAATCCCTTGCTTAAAGGTTCTTAAAATCACGTTCAGCCCTTGACATTAAGGTCGTGGAGCACATCCCCCACGAATACATAGAACTGGTAAGGAATAATTGTGCTTGAGGTATATCATTAATAAAGATTATTTTGGTCGTTTTGACCTAACTTGCCATCGTTTAATTTAATGCATTCTATCTGTCCGTAAAAGTTCGCTTCTTTGTTGAAACAGTGAGCTCTATGATAGTCCTTTTTCATTATAGAAACGTGAAGATTGAGAGGAAAGGGCTATTGAATAACAGTTTCCATGCGAGACAGGAAATGACGTATATATTAACATCAAATATGTGCTTGTAAGAAATTCAGTAAAATTACTCAGGGCTTCAAGCATGTTTAAGCGGCCACAAAGTTCTACGTTCGCGTTTTAGGAATTTATATGGTCTTACAACAACAACAACAAAAATTGGAAGAACCGTTATTCGACTTTTCAATGCATGTAACATCATTATTAAGAATAAAAAAACGTGAAGTGTCAAAGTTCAGGGGCACCCGACGACTGTTTTCCGTAAAATATCTGTATCAGAGAAGCAAATGTTGCAAATGTTAAAATTTTTTATTACTTGAGGACGTCTAAAAATTTCTAGATGGCCGTTGCATAGGCCTATTCGGCTAACTCAATGTTGTACCCAATGACTCTTTGGGAATAAAGCGTTTTGTTTCAGGAATTTCCATCATTTAAATGTGAATGCCACATTATAATGCAAATACAGTACAAAAGAATCTTATCCCCGGGAGATTTGAATTGTACCGGGTCTACTCATGTACAATTTTAGAAGCTTATCTTATAAATTCCCTACGCTTTTCTGAAGTTTAATTCAGTTTGACATTCCTCACCCCGGGTTAGGCTATTTTTCGTAATGCTTTAAATTGCATCTAAAATTTTGGGGAAAATAATACTGAAGGCCTTGTAATTTCGATAAGATTATAAAGTTCCCGGCTAAGATGACCGAACGGATACAGATTTATAGCGCCGCTTAGAACGCATTTCTAGAGGTCTACACTGACCTAAAAAGTGTTTTCAATGCATTTGGGCGGAAACTGTCGTTGGGTGCGCCTGAAAGTTGTAAAAAGAGATGAAGTTTGAATTCATTTACACAGGAGCTTAAACCATCACTTAGAACGTGTAATCAGACTTGATTCAAGCGAAGCATTGTATTAGAACATTTGTATAAGCACCAAGCACCGTAATGAATACAAATCTCAGCTCTCTTAACAACCTTAGCTAAACATCGAATAACGTTACTTCTAATTTTTCCACTGAATAAGAAGTGACGTTATATATGGCCTACAGCAACGTCCAGTTATGGAGCTAGGAGACTCCACAGTCTTAATACCCACATTCTCATTATCTTTTTAAAAAACTGACAAATGACGAGGAAGGTTGAGGAAGCCTGGCCTGTAAGGGTACTTTCGAAAACGGGGGGGGGGGGCGTTGGTTGGGGGATTGGTGATGCTTTGCTGGAATTTGGCATTGGAACCCCCATCATACATCTCCAACATCTCAAACCAAAAGCAGTGCCAGTCTTAAGTCAGACATGGGGTAGCTTGTTTTAAAATATAAGTCTAGCCGGATTTCTGAAAACTAACCTAGCGAAATTTTGCAGTTATTCAAAATGGCCAGAAGGCAAGTTTTTTTTTTCGTCCGATATAAGCTCGAAAATTACGCATAAGGAGCTTATGCGCTAAAAAAAGGACGGCCATTTTTCAGCATAAGCATTAACACAAGACTTTGAGTTTTCTTCATTAAAGTAAGCTTATGCTTGTGCTTATGCTTATGTCACTAAAGTGTTCACCAGCCCATAAAATTCTTATGCTCGCTTAACCTGCGAAGCAGTGTCGAAAGAGGAAGGGGATTAGGAGGAAGGGAAAAGGTGAGGGGGCTATCGCACTTTTCTCCCTCTCCTCCTCCCCCTCCCCTTTTTGCTCCTACCATGATGGTATATGCAGACTTGCATTATTATCCTCCCCTCCCCGTCTCTCTATCCCCCCCCTCCTCCCTGTTTTTCGTGCTAACATTTCTTTTTACTGAGGAGTTCAATACCATCTTTACTTTCTGGTCTCTCTTACTAGAGACCTTTAGATTCGAGGACGACAACGACAACGAGAACGAAATTTCACTTGAAGTTTTTTTCGCGCATTCTTAAAAAAAGAAATCCCGAAAAGCTTCATCTTACTTTTTTTCACAAGGAAAGTTAGCACTGTTATCTTTTTGAAGGAGGTTAAACCACGTCTCGATCGCAAAATAATGTTACATTTCATGACTTGTTTTCGCCACTACGACATTCTTGCTAAAACTCGTAGCAGAATGCCGACGACTATCACGTTTTCCCGCCAAAATGACGCTGGTTTACGCCTGATCACTACTTAGTATTGAGAAAATCTCTCACTCGAAGGTCCTCGTCTTAGAATCTAAAGCTCTCTACTATCTGAATACTTGCAACAAGCTATTCTTGCGCTAAGACTCTTCCGTGGCAATAAGAATAAAGGGCACCAAACCTATGACTGTCTTACAGGCAAGAGAGCATAGCTGGGATCAATGTTTACCTTCCAAGATTTACTAACATCAAGATTAACTAGTATGCTATTGCACCACGTGCGCTTTCCTGGTATCCGGTTGTTAAAATTAACCCATAAAGGAGAACATATTTCAAACATTAATGATCGGAATAGCCGAAATAGCTCCTTGGATTTAGTCTGCCCTTGCTTTAATAAAACGTGAAACCGAAGGGGTCATACGTACGCGTACATTTAGTGTGAGGGCAGCAAGATTATGGAATACAACACCAAATTCTTTAAAGAAGATTGAATGTGTAAAGAGTTTTAAAGGACTTAATTGACTTTATCCATCTTAATTTTCTTTTGTTGTAATTTTTATCATTCGATAACTTCCTATTTACAAATCTTTAAACTGTATTTTACTGTT